TATTTGTGCATATTAATCACCTTATTAGCATAATTAGTTAATTTTCACCTGATACAAATGTATCTCAGGTACTAATCATCACATTTCAATGAGACTTGCGACATAGATCTTCTAGGACTATGCAAAGACCTGATTAATTTTGGGATAAATAATTGTGCATATTAATTACCCTATTTGCATAATTAGTTAATTTTTTTGCTGTTTTATGGCTGTTGCATTGTCTAAAAATCCACTCATTGGATTTTAATGAAACTTAATGAAAACTTAATGAAACATTTCAATGAACCTAGGACTATACACCATATTAGTTTTTGGTAAATATTAATTATGCTTCTTAATCACCTAATTAACATAATTAATTAATACTGATATCTCAAGTATTGATCATCACATTTGAATAAAACTTGGTACATAAATGCTCTAGGACAATAGACAGCCTGATTAATTTTGGGTTAAAATCTGTTTATATTAATTTTCTAATTAGCATAATAATTAATAATTGTTTGGTTCTAATCACGTTTCAATGAAACTTGGTACATTGTGCAGACCTTATTAGTTTTACACTTAAATCTGTTCATATTAGTTACCTTATTTGCATAATTAGTTTTCTGCGTTTCCATCAATATATCAAATTCAAGTAATTTTGAATTAATTTTTAATGTGTCTCCAATACTCTCAGCACACGGGAGTTCTTTCTAAGCTTTCTTTGATTTTTTTGGGATCGGGTTCGAAATGGCATTTTGTTTTAAAGAATTCAGTTCTTGATTCGTATCTGAGACATGCCTGGATTGATTGAGTTCAAATTTGGTACATCATGTCACAAATAGATATGTGCATTTGTTTCATGATCCGCTTAACAGTAGCTGAATGATGGCCATTTTAAGGCCGAAAATGCATCAAAATCACATATTTTCACAATTCCGGAACCGGATCTCAGTCATGCATGGATGGATTTTGTTCAGATTTAGTACAATGTGTTGTTACATATGCACTTGCACTGAAAGTAGTCTGAGATTTCGGTCATGATCTGCTTTGAATGTATATGTCACTCAAATATGAACAGAACGGGGATGTGTCATTGACAATGACTTGTATTCTTCAATATTTCTGGAAATGAACTATAATTTTGGAGCCAACAGATGAAATTTGAATCAATTTTCAGTTTTTACTAAAAAAAAATTGGCTTTTTTGGCCTCAATTTTCTGAAAAAAGGTGCAGGACTATTTTGTGAATTTGTGATGAGAGGAGGGAACTGGTAGTGAAAAGGTTAAAGAAGTTTTTTTCTATTGTATTTTTGTAGTTATTTTGATTCAGAAAAACCTGTTATATAACAAATAATTGATGTAATTTTGTTTCAGGCTTTTCATAAGTTGCAAGATTTAGTGTATGTTGAGGAGTCGACAGCAAGCAAATTAAAAGAAAAGGATTTTCGCATAGTGAAAAACTCTTTATCGCATGAACTGTTCTATCATGTCCTGGTGGATATGCAATAGAAAATACTAAGTGTGGTAA